AATTTTACATTTTCCTTAAATATTCATAAAAATAAAAGAAAGATTGAAGAAGTTTCATTCTGATATTTCGTAGTTATTAACACATTTTCACCAACTACCATCGTGTGTTTGACACAGCATAGACCTTGGCGAACAAAAGACAAGTATTCTTTGGCCAAGGCATAGACGATCCCGGCTTATGTGTCATTAAACCGCGAAAAAATTAATTCGTTTTGGTTGAAGACTACGTGGAACCTTGAAGCAGTGAGTTCGTGCAGTTGCATGATAATCTGGGACAGCTAAGCTGCGGCAATAAGTCGGCGGACCACCTGGTCATCGCAGACAGCTAGTCCAAATAAATAAACTTTCTTTTTTTTTTAATGCAAAGGTTATCTTCAAAATATAGTATAAATAACTAATTTTAAAAATGCTGATTTTTAATAATACATAACAGTTTTAAATTTTCAAACCCTACTACTTTACACTATACAGTGTACATATTTCTAATTATCTGTGAATAGTTTATAAACATAATCTGAAAAATCTCATAAATTGTGGTTTTTCAATAGGTATTGAACTTTTACCTTTATTTTTTCAATTTAATTTTATTTTATTTCATTTCATTTTAATTTTATTTAAAATATTTTTAAAATTAATTGTTAGCAAAAATAAATCGAGATCTATGATAATAAGCACAAAATGGTACTTTGAGGTTTTTATAATTTTAGGTTTTGGGCACCTTAATCCATTTTTTTTTTCTTTTTTTTTTTTTTTTTAGTTTTATATGGTAAATCCCATATGTCCTGCTCAAAAAATTTAGAACATCCAAACATAAACATGGCTTTGAAAGAATTTTAAATGACTTAATTCTGCTAAGAAGATTATTTCAAAATGAAGTTTATTGCATTCAATTTAGATATAAAAACATTAATTTTGAAACAATTTAAACTACTTTATAAAGATATTTAATTGGAATAGAATATGTAATTTTGCTACAATCTATCTTGCTTTTATTTTTTTTAATCTAAAAATAATAAATTGCTAAAATGAATTTTAAATAAATTTGTCTTAAAATACTGTCTACAAAATTTTAAAAGTAAAGGATAATGATGCTTACGAAGCAATTGTGAATGATTAGAGATAATTAAGCAATGAAGAGAAGTTTCGAACTCTTAAATTTCTGAAGTGACAGAATTAAGCTACAATTAAGAGAAGAAATCTTAAAGTACCATAGCTTAACAATGAGACAGGAAATGCCTGTTAAAATATAATAATTAAGGGAATGAAGCGAAGTTAAACACCTACAATTCTTAATAACTGTTTGAAAATGCAAAGATATTATTTCGAGAGCCAAAACTCAACGAACTTTGTTATGATAACAAATAAAGAAATAAGTAAAGTGAAGTGCTTAATAAATTACGGGTTAGAACCTATAAATTGCAATTAGATTTATTTAGATAAAACTCAAGTATGTGCTCCAATAAGCTATTTGATAATTTTATCACGTGAAAAGAGAGTATTTTAAAACTCGTTTTAAAATGTATGTCGATAAGTGGCATTCTAAAATGAAATATTAGATTATATAGCATTAACACAGAACAGCTTAAATACAATATAGATGGGCTAAACTATTGAATACTTTCTGAAAATACCCTGTAATTAAATATATTATTATACAGATAAGCAAAAAATTATAAATTATGCAATTATCTTTATATTAGATCCTATCTAATTCGAAATGAAATCCATATTTAAACTATATTGAAGAAATGAAGAATAGTATCTATTTGTCTTGAAGCAAGAGACAGTGAGTATCCCAATGAAACAATCTAAGAAAATATATTAAATTTTGTTCAAAGTATCTAATGCATAAGAAACAACATTGAGCCTCTCAAAAACTTTCGACTAGATTTCCTTTCATAAATACATACCAAGTGTTTTTAATTTAAATATTGTAGCTTAAATACATTCTGATTACTCATGCATGCCTATATTTCATTTTAAGATTTTAAGCATATTTTACTTTTGAACCTTAACAGAATTGCTGAATAAAGTATAAATCCTCAAAGAATCCTTAATAATGGACATATATTAACCAAACAAATAACGCAGAAAGGCTCTTTGCCTAATTTATTAAGCAGAATGTTTGGTGCAGATGTTATTCTTGTAAGCCAATACGCTTAACTTACGATGCTGAAAATCAATCCTAAGTAGAAAATTGGGGTTAATAAAATTTGTATCACGTTAGAATCATAATTTGAGAAACCCTACTGCACAACATAAAATTACTGATTAAACAGAAAGTGGAATTTCATGTCCAGTATTTTCCTCTAATTACAAAATTACAAACAATTTCAGCTTTTGGATACTAATATATACTAATTTACTAATTCACCGATATAAAACATTTAATCCTTTTAAATTAATAGAGACATGTAGTCAAATATATATATATATATATATATAATAC